GAGTTTATAATTAAAAACCAACATCAAGTTAATTAGTGAAGCTAAAGTGGATTTAAATACAAAAAAATAACAGAAATGACCACCTAATGGCCATTGAATGTTTTGATTAGTTGATAATCAAAATTAACTATAGATACATTGTGAAACTTAATCTAATAATTGAATCTGTTCACCTTTTCAATTATGTAAGCTTTGAAATAAAAATCATGATGAGAATGATAATAATTACGAACTAAATGACTATTACTTTCTCAATTCAATTCTGAGACAAGGTAAAACAATTAAAAGTTATATCATTATCAACCTTGGTGAAAGAATATCTTCATTTTCTTGTTCGTTTTTTCAGGGTCGAGTTCATAAACATGGGAACACGCAGAATCTACTCAAATAAATTGTCCTATTATCATTCACCAGCAGCATAAAAATCATCATCAACATGTTGATTATTTACATTACAATCTAATGTTGCTTAACTCATTTTGATTAATCTTTGGGTCAAGGTAATTTCAGTGTCTATTTCAAACTAAATATCATTAAATTTTGCTTCCATGTCTGTATTTATGTCTATTTTCATGGTTACTTAGCATCATCAACATTTCTTTATCTGATTTTATTATTTCTTTTCATTTTCTTTTTTCCATATTTTTTATAGCATTTTGGTACAACATCAACGATAATTACTGAATTTGGTGCTTTCTGCTGCTACCTGGCTTTACATTATCCATCAAAGTTGAAAGAAAAATGGTGTCAATAGCAATTTATTCAAAGGAATGGTCGTAAATTAACAATCTAACCAATGTTTCCAACACAATCAGGTTAATGAAAGCTAACAAATCAGTCCCTAGTTAAAGCATCACTCAGCAACCCTGAAGAGGCTGAAACACTATTTCAAGCAGATTAGTATTGAAAACGAGTGATCCAAGAACTCAAGTCTGGCCAGATTTTTGCTGCAAAACAATTGAAAGATGCTCCAGATACCTGATTTCAACTGATTACACTTTCCTTTATTAATCAAAATCCATCGTTGAAGCAGACTCAAGCAAAATTCAAGAGGACAAAATAAGAATCAAAAAGATGGTCATTCAAAGGATCTAGAGATGAAGACTGAAAAGACAAAATTGAGCTTCAAGACTTTTCATCGATGAGACGAAATTGCAGATTTACAATATAATTTGTATTGAAAGAGTAAAGAGGAAAAATCACGATTACAAGAAATTTTTAGATTCCATTCATGAACAGATTCATTGAAACCTATCAATATCATAATGAAGTAAACAAAAGGACAATCACACCCAAGTCAATCTAAAAGGTTAGTCCACCTTGAAGCCTCAACTCTGTTAATTTGGAAGGATAAAAATGTCTCTAGAGACAAATTTTAAAATAAGTTTAAAAAAGGTTTAGAAGAACATTTTTTTCTTGTTTTTACTCCCAATTTTAAAGAGTTTATTCAACCTTTATTTGACCATTGAACGTTTTCAATTTCAATTTGATCTCATCTTGCCTTATCCAAGCTCACTATCTTGACCTTTGGTCACTGACTTATCCTTTATTTTCACCCTTTTCATCAAAATGTCTTTTACCTTTTCATTTTCATGATTTCCCTCTTTTTAACTGCTGAATGCTGATCTTTAAGCCACCTTTGTCAGCACATTATAACAGATCTCATTATCATGTTTTATCTTCATCATGATAGCAATGTGAACAACTCGGAAAGTTGTTGATGAATCTGTTGACAGGTTAAGCGGCATAAAAAAGATTCAATGTATTCAACTCTTTTACCTTGTAAATAATATTCAAATCATCGACTAAACCTGAATCTGAAATTTCCGGTTTTTTATTAACAATGAAAATCCTGAATCATTTCAAGTTTAAAGATGATTACATCAACCGATTACATAGCAATTTGATGTAAATTGATTCCAATAACTATAAATGTAGCAAAGCTACAAATAAATCACGAACCAAATTGAAAAACATTTTTCCATTTTTACGCTTTAAACACATTTTCTTGATTCCAAATTTCATAAAATGATTTTATTTAATCATTGTTTCAACTCGTTTATTTCAGATTAACATTCCATGATTACACTGGTAGCTGCACTTAACGCAACTTTAGGGTCAATTTTCGTCATAGTCGCCATCTATTAGGTACCCAAGGTACCAATGCGGTCGAACTTTATTTTGTTAAAGTTTAATGTTCTAATTTAATTTAATTTTCTAGTTTTCATTGATTTGAGTGTAGTTTCATCAATAATTCAATGTCTAAGTTAAATTTTTCAACTAAATTAAAGATTTTAGAGGAACTGAAGACTAACAAAGGATCTGACTTAGCAATTAAGTACAATGTTCATAGATCAACAATATCAAGAATAAAAAATGACAAAAGGCTGCTTGGGCTAAGTGATGATAATTTAATTAAACGTCGATGCAGGTTCTATAATCAAGATCTTTATCGTGAAATCGACGATGAAATTAAAGAATTTGTTGAAAAATGTAACACCAAAGGATTTCCAGCCAGCAGGAGAATTATTCAACAAAAGGCAAAACAATTAGCAACAATCAAAGGTATCAACAATTTCAAAGCAAGTAATAGCTGGTTCAAGAAGATGAAGAAGAGAATTGAATTTAATTATAATAAACCGAGAGGAGAGTCTAAATCAGTTGATCTCGAGGAAATAGATAAATGGAAAAAATCAGAATTGCCATCAATATTGAATGAATATGAAGGTTACGAGATATGGAATTGTGATGAGACCGGATTACAATATAAATCAATAAGACAATGGTCTTATTTCACCAAAAATGCAAATAAATTTGGAATTAAGCTTCCAAAATCAAGAATCTCGATCCTGCTTACTGTTAGTTTGAATGGAGATAAAAAGAAACCATTAATAATCGGGACAAGTGCCAAGCCTCATTCATTCGGTTCAATCTTTCATAACACTGAACAATTAGGCATCGAATATTATTACAACAAGAAAGCATGGATGACAACAGTTATCTTCAATGATTGGCTATTCAAATGGGACTCTGAATTGAATGGAACAGGAAGAAAAATCCTTCTGTTATGTGATAATGTTATCACTCATAATGATCAACAATTAAATTTAATTAATATAAAGATGATTAAACTACCAAAGAGGACAACTTCAGTTCTACAACCATTGGACTCTGGAATTATCTCCAATTTCAAACATTATTATTATACTAATTTAAACGAATTTTTGATTAATTTAATTAATGTTGATGAAGATATTGAAAAATTACTAAATTCTATTAATTTACTCCAAGCAATTCGCTGGATAGTCGAGGCTTGGAACCAAGTTAAACGAGAAACTGTCATTAATTGTTTTCGTAAATGTCTTTAGCCTCTAAACAATAAATACCCGAGATGGCGACACCTAAAAATTGCGTTAAGTGAAACCCCAATTTGTTGCGTTAAGTGCAGCTACCAGTGTATCTTTTCTCAATCAATAATCACATGGAAACAAATGTGTCTTTCACTGAATTTTTATCCTAAAAAAGTATGATCAAAGCCAAACAATAACAACAACCCAAATCCAATGGCAACTGTAAATATGAGTTAATGGTTTACTGCTGTTAATTTGGGAATTAAATCTTATTAAATGGTATTAATACAATTATTTAACGACAGTCAATCAAAACTGATTATCAACTGGTACAACTTTAATGGTTAATGTTAATCTTTTAAGATGAACATTGATTTACATTTGAAATCAAGTAAAGTTAAATATAAACTGGAAACCATTTTAACTGTAAAAATACAGAAAATTGTTGGTGTATATTTTGTGATCAACTAATCAACTTCAAAAAATTAGGTTTACATCTTTGACTATTTCATTAATCTAAAATGCCTTTCCATTAAGGTTTCAGTAAATTGGAACTGATTCAAGAAACAAAAATCTAAATCAATTATCATCAAGACATTTCAGTTTTACGTTTACCTTGTGTTTTTTGTTTTCCCCCTGGATAGGTTCAATATGTTGATCATTGTGAGTTGACTTCATACCAAGAATAGACATTCAGATTATGAGAGACAAATTAAAAGTAAAGAGCAAATCAGGGAAAATTCAATTACTCAGACTGAACGAGAGAAAAGAGTTTGAAAAATTTTGAAACACCAAACCTTCAATCAATTGTAATATCAGTATTTAATCTTCTTGATTGAAGTTTAGGTTTGATCGTTTGAACAAACAGCAATCATAAAAGTGAAATTAAATCATTTACTTGGAGTGAAATGAATGTACCAAATAACACCGTAATTTAATGGAAGTTCAAGTTTACATGGAAACTTGAAACTCTACTGAAAATCATTTTTTAACTCTCTCCTTTTTTTGTCATTTTTCATATTTCAATGATTGTTGTTGTCCAAAATATCTTTTTGCTTCAATCAAAATTTAAGATTGAAAAGCCATTGTTGAACCATTTTTTAACCCAACATCGTATATAACTTTTAATTTCATTCAACAATTGGACAAAAAAGCGTATCAATTGTATTATTGTATCAATCCTTTTGTTCATTTTGTCTGATTCTAATAATTAAATCCAACAATTGTGATACTGTTGACAGCAAAATTGTACACCAAAGAGTCTAACAATTAGCTTTTATATTCATTGGTATTGTAACTAGAACTATACTTTCACTGGTTTAATTGTCAAATTATTCACATTGTGATTTATGTTGATGATGTTGACAACTCTTGAAGATACAAAAATGGTAAACAATTAATTTTAGATTTAAATTTGATTTTGTTTTTATTTCAAAAAAATTTGCTTTGTTTTCACTCGAGTAATTATGATACAAATTAGATGGCGTTAATGTCAAGTCGAAAATTTGTAAACAAATTTTAGCTTTTTTTCATCCCAAACCAAATTATTGGGATAATTTTTTGTTTAAAATTATTGAATTAATTTAGTAATTTACTGATTGAGATTAACATGGTTTCTACAACATTAATCTTCTTTGTTAAACACCATTGTAGTGTTTGAAATTTCACCTCATCCATCTTTATTGAATTATGATCTTCAAGTTGTGTTTACTAATTTTACTGTTTATTTGCTACTTGGGATAATTGCCTGTTAACTGATTGTTCAATAAGTGTGGATAATAATTAACCATTTTTGCAATCATTTTTGACTTCATTAACCTTCAAATTATCAACATTTTGTGTTAACTACAAGTAATTTTCCGACCTTCAACTGTCTGTTTTTATGTTAGTATGGATGTAGAGTTATTGTTATTTTTTTAGATTTTTATCAACACGTAATTTACCCTTTACTTTGTATATGTTCAAACTAGTCACATTAATCTGGTTGATACAAAAAAAGATTTGACTGTTTTTTTGTTCAATGATTACAAAAGTCATTTAACCAGAGTGACTATGTGTTAAATCACGTTTACTTTGCTTGTTTCACCTCATTCTCGTGTTACTTTTTCAACGATAGTTTGACTAAATTTGCTTTATTTACCGGTTACACTTTGCTTCAAAATTGGATTAGAGTTAACTTTTTTTTTTGGACTTTAATGTGAAACAAAACAGGCAAAATTGAAGTCACTTTAATCACTTATGTTTGTGATTTGCACAAGCGTCATTATAAACGTTGATCAACCTTTACACACTGATTAGTAATACCCTCATCTGTTTATGGGAGACCCTATAACCCTGGAGTTTATGATTGGATGAGAGATTT